AAAAGAAAGCATTGTGCAATCACAAATCACTAATTAGTCATGTATCATGCACAAGCATAAGTTATTATCAAATTTAAATTATTTATCAAGTTAAAATGTGCTGCCTTTCACTGCACACAGAAATAAGAGTATTTTGCAAAGAATCCCAGAACAAGTCCTTTTAAAGCATGAAATACCAGGTCCTGAAGTGTCATTCCTAAATTATAGTGGTTGTTTGATGACAACCTCTATAATGATGCCCAGGCTTTTTGTTTCCTCTCTTGTTCTGTGTACCAATATGACCCAGTGCAAACAGAAACATGAGCTTTCATTACCTTGTATTCAAGCGGCTGCAATAAAAACTGCTAATGGAAGAGGAGGAAAGAAGAGTGAAAAGATCAAATGCCCCAGAAGATATTTACACAACATAAGAGTTTTGTGGCCATGAGATACTATTTTGAGGTTACATACAGGGAGTGAAGAAATAAACTGCACTTTCAGGAAACTTTGTGACAAGAATAGGTGGGAAAATAATTATATTGCATGACTAGCCTTCTCTTTGTACAGACACATTATATGGCAGATGCCAAAGCAAACAGTTTATAAGTGAAGTGTAAGTTTTACTCATTTGCTGTCTGATCAGAAGTATTTATAAATACCTGTGGTGTGTCTTTATTGTATTTTTTCTTTTTTTAACATGGGAAGATTTTAAAATCACTGATAGAAAAGTTCAGGCATTTATTTAAAAAAAAGTTTTACTTTAGATATTTTTTTAGAATATAAGGATTGTATGATTCAGTGTGAAAGTATTACTGCAATTTGCCCTTTTCCTTCTTTAAGTGGATAGCTAACCTGCTGAAGGGTGAAAGAACAGCAGATAAATATTTGGTGAGAATTTTCTGACACCATCTTTCATGATGTAATGAGCAAGGTAAGGAAAAACAGCCTATAATAACTAATTGGGAAGAAGGACAGCCTGAAACATTTTTCTTAAAGAGTAAACATTCACTGCAAAATTGTGAAGTCCTTCCAAGTGGGGTCCTTACAGGCTTTTGTCCTCAGCCCAGCCTTAATCTGGTTTTTCAGGAGGGGTCTAGACAGCAGGCTAGAGAGCATACATACACACAGTTAATTTGCGGATGGCACCGACAGGATGATACTCCAAGCACTTTGGAGATCTTCAGAAACTAAATGGGCAAAGAGGAGGGATGACCTGAAATCCACAGAGAAACTAAGCAGGGGGAAAACCAGAGAACAGTTCAGAGGGAAAAAACCCCACAGAAATAAAATAAAGAATAATGAGAGCAGCAGGAAAGGATTTGGAGATTACTGTGAAGGAAGGCAAGTCAGCAATCTGAGGCTGTTGTGAACAAGAAGAATTCAGTATGATGTGATCAAGGACATCATCTATAAGAGACAGGAGCTGACTGATTAGTTCTGTTTGACATTGATGAAACCTCACCTGGAAGACTCTGCCCACTTTTGGGTGCTGGACTTGAACAAGGATGTAGGCAAACTCCAGGAGAGGATAAGAATCAGAGTAAGAGGTTTAGAAAACATGACACACAAAAGAAGAGCCATAGAAAGACAATTCCTTGGTCTAAAAGATGAAGACAGAAGAGAGGATACAAAAGCAAGATCTTAGGGAGGCGGTGATAGTAATTTAAAAAATACTTTGTTTTAAATCCACATTTCTTCCAATGAAAGTCCTTGTGTCCTGTCAATAGCATTTATTACAAAATCCATTTGTTAACTGAAGAGACGAACATAATTTAATGACTGACAGAGTCAAGGTTATGCTTATTGTAATAATAACATAGGCTCTGTCGTGTGGAGAGTTAGGTGATAGACTATCTGCTTTAAGGCATGTTAAGGATCAGACATTGCTGCAGCTGATATGACAGATCATTCGCCACAGATTCATGGACAGTGGAGATTCTGTAGTCACAGGATGGGAATTTTTGTTTAGCCTAGGATTTATCTGGGGTTTTGACACATTCTTTGTGGGCTGCACATTAATGCACACAATAGGATTCTCCTGTGATAACTACAATACAATTAACATTCACCTTCTGTGCTGTAGTGAGACATCTGTGACCGCCTTCCTCCCACTGGGGTGGCTGCAGGTCATCTGGAACGGAGTTCCAGCTCCAACCCCAGCTCCAGCCCAGCCCACAGGCCATGGATTCCCAGCCCAATCAAAAACAGAAGCCTTTTCCTGGAGGGACATGGCAGTGGAGAAAGTGTTGCAGCCCTGGGGAACAAGCAAGGCAGGTGCCTGGCAGCGCGGCTCATCATTGGGTCTCTGAGGCATGAAGTCAGTTCAGAGAAACCACCCCACAGCTGCCAAAGCCACTGGTAGATTCCTCATGCTGTCAGCAGGCCCAGATGGGATGCTTCCTCTGCCCAGGAAGATTTTGCCAGGTATTCCATTGAAATTCCCTCTCCACCAACTCAAACTTGACTCTTTCTTGGTAAGAGTTCACGGGCAGTTCCACAGTGCTGCAGGGATCTCAGGAGACATGCTCGTTATTCCAGCCCGTTCACCTAGGAAGGTGCGTATGCACTAAGGGTGCACCTCCTGTGGTTGTTTTCCCTTTGAGGCAAGGGTTAGGGAGGTGAAATTATTTGCCTGGTGTATACCATTCATTTTCTTTGAGGTAATGGGCAAACACCTTTTTCTTGCTGTTGGCTTTCCTTGATGAAACTTGCAAAGCTGCACATCTTTGCTGTGTATTTACCCAGCCTGTAGGGCACCATATTCTGGTTTCATTCTTTAGGTTTACTTGAAGCCAATGAAGCAGGACTGGCTCTTGGAAGTGCAGAGGCTGGTATCCAAACTATATTTATACCTTGTTGTGCCATAACTGTGCAGGTTATACCAAAGTACACATTAGGACCAAAGAAGACCTTAACTCACTTCTCTCGTTTCTTAAATCAGTGAGAGAGTTTTTTTATTTTTATTATTGTATGGATTTTTGTCCAGTTGTTAATCCCAAATTTTAGCAATAGATTTCCGTTAATGATTTGAATTCAAACCTTGTTATACCATAGACCTGAGTAAAGAGAAATAAATGATTCCTACTTTATTATTTCTACTTGAAAAATGAGATTCTTCCACTTTTTCAAATCAAACTAATACTTTCCCTGAAACAAGACAGAAGACTGTGATCACATCTGAACAAAATACAGAGATATGTACTCTGTACTTGAAGCTGTCCACAAAGCTTCAAGTAAAGAGTATAGAAATATTCTCTGTTATAGAATATAGAAATTCTTTAAGGATGGTAAGGCATCAGAACAGGTTGCACAGAGAGGTTGTGGACTCTCCATCCCTGGAGGTGTCCAAGACCAGCGTGGATGGGGCTCTGAGTAACCTGGTCTAGTGGAAGGTTCCCTACCCACGACATTAGATGATCTTTAAGATCCCTTCCGACCCAAACCAGTCCATTATTCTATGAATCTACATTGGAATACTTAGCTTGTGTAAGAGTGGTATACTTCCAGGCCTACGGCCAGTATAGACAAGCCTCTTACTGGTATGTCCACATTTTTGAAAACTGGAAATCCCATGTGTAGTGACAGAACTGTCCCTGCAGAAATGCTGAACACAGACCAAGCTTTGGCTGTATGGGTAAACATTAAAGCCATGTTGAGGAAAAGTCCAGCTCTAAAAAAAAAGAAGAAAGAGCTTGACAGAAGAGATGGGGGGTTGAGCAAAGTGTTAAGACTAGGACCAAAAACTGTCACACATGCGTTCAGACTGAAGCATAAACAATTTCTATGACAAAGCACTGACAAACCATGAACAGTCAAAAATCCTGCATCACTGCGAGGCAAGCGTACCTTCTTGCTCCTTGGCTAATGTATATAATATAATATATTCGGTTATTTCAACAACATGCTGTGTCTCATCATTTGTGTACTCCATTCTCCTTTTCCTGATCCTTCAGGAAGAACTGTGTTTTCCACACTTTCCCTGTCTCAGGGACACTGAATATTATTATTATCTCTGTGGCACTAATTGCTTGAGCTGCTACAACCTCTACATTGCTGGAATCCTTCTGCTATTTTCTAGAGAAGCATTTTAGTTATTGTCATCAAGATAGTCAGATGAACTCTTGAAACTGGTTAAAATTTAATGATCTTTGAACTGTGATATTTCATGCTTCTGAAACTGCACTAGGTGGTGTAGGAAAATTTAGGAAAGAGAATCTGCTTTTTTTTCTTAATTTGGATGCCAGTTGCATCTACCTTGTTTATCATAACACTTTTAGTATACAGAAAAGAATTATGATGGTGAGTCTGAGACAATTCTTCATGAGACATTCTACACTGCTGTTTCACTGAGGGCTGGTTAGACGTATGGTGCTGATTTTGTTGTCTGTTGCTGAACTGTAGTAAACCTCTGGTAAAGAAAAATATAAAGTATTTGTCACGAGAATTTGAAAAGGGAATGAGTTTGGTTCATGTCAGTTTTTCCCCAGACAGGTAGGTGGGTACTCAACTAGTGCAACTATGTTAGCAATTTAGTACTCTGGAGGTGATTGCTTATGCACAAATTTGCCTTTTGTCTGTTTTAGGAATTGTGCAGTGCATATGTGAGTGCACCCAGTCGGCTGAGGCTGCAGTGCTCCCTTCAGAGCACTCCACCAACAGTGGTGAGTGGTGCAAGGTATCTCCAAAAGGGGGAAATCAAAACCTCCAAGCATCCCTCAGCACTCTACACAAGCATAAAATTCTAGTAGCAATGGCAAAGCAATCTGGGATGGCTGTACAGAAATCTACTTTTACAGGCAGCTGGTATCAACTTCATTTCCAGAATCAACATGTTGTGAGATAGGTCCACAACATTATAGCTTTACTATAATGAATTTCATATACCTACAAAGCTGTGGTCATTGTTACCTGTTAAAGCACCTTCCATTGTTTTCAGAGAAAACTCTGTTTTAGATACTCTTTCACTCTTCTACCACAGACCCCTCTTCTTTCCCTTTTTCTTTTTCTTTTTTTTTTTTTTAAACATTAACTAGGCTGTATAAAGAGAACATTTCCTTCAAAAGAAAAAATTTACTTCTGGTTGAAATTACAATTTTAAACATCTCTCACAATTAGAACCTGCTCCTTTTCCTGGCCCCTGTCTGTTGTGGTAGAAACTGTCACTCTAAAGGCTCTATGGCTGGACCTTGGACTTTATCTCCTGATCATAACCTAATTGCCTTTGACGTGTACAAAAACGCCTGTCCAAGAGGATGTGTTGATTGCCTTATTTGAGTAACCCATGCATTACTTATCAAAAGACATAGTAAAGAAAGATGCTGAAAGTCTTGAACATCTCCATCTAAGCCTTAGTCCTTCCTTGTGTGTTTTTCCACATGTTCCTCTCTGTCCTGTTGCACTTCTCGCCTACTAAAAGATACAGATACCCAACTATTGCTGCTTATTTCCAAGCCTTTCTTCTCCAGGCAAAGGGATTTAACAGGTTTAAGTTCCTTTGATCCTGACCTTGGAAACATCCATTTATAACCTATCTGGAGCCAGGTGGTAGACCTTTCACAGTTAACAGTCCCTGTTCTAAAAGACTACTGGGTATCCTCTCTGAAAAATATTAATCTTTTTCATGATTCTATTTAGTATTAGTTTTTCTTAACAGTCTCCTTTAATTCTTTTTAACTGAAGAAAAATTTTCAAACCGATAAAATGAGGTACCTAGATAGTCGTGAAAATTATAGAGATTTCTCATTTTTGAAAACAAGCAAACGAATATGAAGTGTTTCACACACCGCAGCCTTACAAGCTGGATATTACACAAGTAAAAATAAATGCACACACCCATAAAACTAGTAAAACTGGCTGTTGCAGCTACACATAGTTCCTTGTGTTCATTAAAATTCTATCTTTATTGAGTTTATCTTGATTGGCATGCAGATCAAAGTGAAAATGTAATAAATAAAAGAATATACATAATGGAATCCATGGAAAGAAGCTATTCAGAAGATAATTCCAGTAGGTGAATTGCAATGAAAAACAACAGTGCAGAAGCATTTGAAACAGAACACGTCATACACTATTGAAGGGCCAGATCCTGAGGCCATTACTCACTTGCGTAGACACACTGACTTCAAAAGAATTACTCACTGTGAGTAAAGATAGTTGGAATATGACTGAACAACAGTATTGGCTCCTTTGGTGCAGCTGTGTAGCTGAACAACATCTCTGTGTGAGAATGATCCTGTCGGCAATATCCATCTCAGTCCATAATGGCAGCTCCAAACCCCCTCTGGAATGTGGTAAGCACCTGCATAAGCCAGAGGATCCGTGACCATATGGAAAGTGGGAATACAAATACGCATGAGAATGAAATGACTAAGTTTTCCTTCAACTGTGCTCAATGAAATGACTAAGTTTTCCTTCAACTGTGCTCACCTGTACTGCTTATGAAAAAATTTTCTTACTTCCCTAGCTCTGGCTGGCCTTGCACAGTTCATGCATAGAAAAGTGAGCTGGATCAACCTCGTTATTAAGGAAATAGTTGTGCTTTGCTGAACTGGGGCCCAGATTTCCATAGCTGAATTTTTATAGCTCTTTAAATGTATGGAGAAGGAGCAGTTTGACTTTCAGATGTCAAGGATGAATTTTTACGGCAAGCAACAAAGAACAAAACTTTTTTTTCATATTAAACTGCTAACTAGACTATTTTGAGACAGTCACAGGACATGAACATAAGGCCTCTTAATGTCATTTTGTTGAAATTTTTACTGGCATAATTACACAAGTGAGTTAAGGGAGGATTTCCAAGGTTGATCACAAAAGGTGAACAAGACAGAAACTAGATGACATGTTCTAGACAACAGAAACTAGAAGACAAAGTCTGCATATCATGGGCTATTAAACAGAGTTCAATCCAGAGCATGAGAGAATAGGAAGAAAAAAAATGACAAAGGAGAAACCTAAGAGAAAGATTTCTTAAATACATATAGAAACCTAAATGGCATCAATGGCTACTGTTCGCATCCCCAGTCTGAGCATTGAGAACCAACAAAAAGATCTGGGTATGCCAGATTTGGCTTTTTAGCAGGGAAATTTTCTCCTGCTTTGGTCTTTCATCCCTTTTATGTTCAAGCATTCTTATTACATATGCAGTATAACCAAGAATTAGCCAGGCTGTCGTGCCATAAGGATGAGTTTCAACAGAGAAAAACATTTGTCTGTGGTTACAGACTGACTCTCTGAGAAGAAAAACAAAACAAAAACTGGTTGCGGCAGTATGTACTGGAACTTCTAAAAGCAAAGCATGGAGCTCAGTTTACCTGTCTGCCTACCACTGCCTAGAGTGGTTTCCCAGGTCTCAGCTAGTTTATAACATATGTTTACCTGTAGTCATGTGAAAGTGTTTTCAACCAGTCTGGTGTATTATTGGCAGCCACTGTTGTTTTACATAAAAAACATTGCAGTCTATTTTGAAGTAGCAGGAGGCAGTCCCCCCTTCCTCAAAACATTAATAGACCTTTTGAGCCAAATCCACTACCTCTTTGGCCCAGTTTTATGTTTATGTGACTTAATTGATCCCAGCAATATTACATCCATGTGTCATTTTGGAAAAAAACAATGTAGTGAATCAGTACCCTTTGCTCCTTTCTACATTTTTCCACTGCCACCATGAGAGATTCAAGGAAATTTTCCACATCTGGGACCTTTCCGAGTAAGCAGTGAAAGATATTGGCATCCATAAAACCCTTACAATCATCTCAAGAGATTATGATGTCTATAATACTGAAAAAATGCCACCCAGGTTATTTCAGCACATTTTTTTTTCTTTTTCTTGTTTGTATTTTGTAAGCAGAACTAAATCAGATTCAAATAGATGAGTGGAGCCTTCTCTTTAAAGAATAGCGTCTACCCCAGCTCACTGAAACTCATAACTAACTGACACGGAAGTTTAACTGCATTACATGGGCTTCAGGCCATGCTCAGCACAATCAGTCTGCTTCAAGCTGAAACTTGCTGTGTTTAGGCAGGTTGGGATTTCTGAACAGGTTGTTCAGCCCTATTTTCTATGCTCAGTTGCCCAAGGATTTGTTTTGTTCCAAGTGCAACAGCAAAGTATTTGGCTTACAAAAGTTTTAAAAGAGTCTGTAATTTTGAGAGAATTTTCTAGCCTTAAAATGTGCAGTTCCACTAAGACAGACACCAGATTTTCAAGATGGAAGGGCTCAGCAAGCTACAAAGGACTGGTGGGCTGTTACCTCTGGCTTTTCTATTGAAATTGTGACCTTTCAAGTATGCTGCGATGTAACAATAGTTTGTCAGGGTCTAGAGGTCTAAGTGAGGACATTTCAGGACTCTGAGGAAATATTCGTCTCAAGCGTCAACATAATTTTATTTGATCGTGTTCATTAATAAGATGCTTACACCCTAGAAAGGTCCTGATTCTGTCGACTTAAGCTTAAATAAGGATTAATATCCTCTGATGTAGGGTATATATTTACATGGTATTTGATGGTGTGGGGCTTTGTTACAAAACGGTGACAAAATGCTTTTTCAGCTTGTTATGTTCAACTAAACATATATTTACTTGAAAAGAAAAAAAAATAAAAAGAAGACCCAAGCCCAGCAGGGGATGTAAACTAACGAGTCTGCCAGTATGTCTTCCAAAGCAGCAAATAATAGCAGTCTATGCAAGGTATAGCTGCTTCCCATAATGGGAAAAAAAAAAACAAACCAAGCATACATTCATATAAATGACTTAAAGATGAAATGAAGAGTCCAGCTCAATTATCAGTACAAATCAATCCCGTAGAGATCATGCAAGGCTTTCTTTTGCCATACGTCCTGCACATGGTAGAAACTGTTCTTAATGTAAACGTTGAGCTACACATTTAAACAGCATTATGTGAATAAAAAATACATGTCCAACTCAGCTAAGCAGTTATCTTCACTAGTGGAGTCAGCCTTGCACCTGTAAAGTCCTACAAAATTCTGAGATATGTAACAGCTATGCTGCCTTCACAGGCTTTATACCACTGTAGTAGATCAAATAAGAAGAAATAAAACAACCAGAAGTTTTAGACAGGGGTTTCAAAAACTGCCAGTAATCCTTACTTACTTATTGGTAGCCATAGAATTATATCTTCACATCCCCACAAGTTTGTGATAGTCTGTATACAACAAACATCATATCTGTTGGAAATGTCATACCAGTCCTAGTGTTCTTTTTCTAGCTTCAAATTCCAAACAAGAGAGCAACCTAGAGGTGTTAAATGTCACATGGAATGCCTAGAAAGAGACAGTCCTTGTAAAATGTTTCTGAGGCTGCAAACATAGGAGAAAGAAAGTACCGTTATCCCTGTCTTATAAGTGCAGGTATCAAGAGATGAAAAGATCTGCCTCTGTAATTCACAGAAAGATTATCATTGACTTCAGTGGGTGTAGTATCAGCCCTATAGCGGTATGAAACTTGGCTCTTAATTACATTAGGCCCACGTAGGCTTAGTTTCAGCCACAGTTCATTTTTATCGCCAGGTTGCTAACCTGTAAACCAAAGGTATTTCAACTGCTGACAGAGTCTGACTTGCGGTTCTAGGCTCCCAGGATGCTTGACTAAGAGAAACCCGTGTCCAGTCACGTTTCATTTGTGCTTGAAGTGTTTGGCTTCCATCAATGGCTTGGGATGGCCTGTTCTCTGCAGATTAAGAGGAAATAACATATGATGCTCAGGCTTGTCTCACTCACTTCAAAGTGTGAGCAACAGTGACTCACCCACCTCCACAGAGATCTTGAAACCCTGTGCTGAGTTTCCTATTTTTCTTCTTGTGTCATAGATAGCATTGCTGTCTTTTGTTTTCTTCAGCCTACCTTCACCAGCTTTGCAGAACTTTGAATCCAATCTGGCAATGAGGTTGAGCTTTATTTTTTTTGCAGTGCCTTTGGGTTCCCATATTCTTTTATAGTTTACTTAACTGAACAGCATGTGTTTAAGTTTCTCAGTATACTCCAAGTGTTACCAAATAAGAATAATCTGCATAATATCTACGTAAAAAGGAGGCTTGTATTCACACTTTGTTAACATCCTGTCCCACAGACAGCTGCTGTCACTGTTTGCCCTTTTCAGTGGCAAT